CCAGGATGGTCTCGATTTCCTGACCTTGTGATCCGCCCGCCTCGGCCTCCCAAAGTGCTGGGATTACAGATGTGAGCCACAGCGCCCGGCCGGAAAGTGGCTTTTCTTTATGGCCCTGGCTGAGGGCTGGTTTCCCCCAAAAGTAAACCGGAAACTAGATCGCTGGCTTCCGCCTGAGACCTCTGCCTGGTGGATGATGGCAGCACACACTTCCTCTTTGCTCTTTTGGGCTGTCCCACAGTTTAAACCAGATAGAATATACTTACTGATTACATCCGGTGCTCATTCTGAGCGCCTGTTAGACACTAGCATATATAACATCATCACACTGACTCTCTACAAGAATCCTGGGAAACAGGAACTATGATTGTATCCTCTTCACAGATGAGGAAACTGAGGCTCAGAAGGGAAACAGTCACTTGGCCAGTGAATGGTGGAACTGGGACTTAATCCTGGGGTCAACTAATCCAGAACTTCAGGAAAATGGGTGCAGCCCATGCCACTAGACCAGGGAAACTGACCCTAATTAGGGGTGAATAGGAAGTTGGCAAGTCAGTAGGTTCAGGCTGGAAGCTGTTGCTTACTTGGCACCCTTACAACTCCCAGCCAGACTGCCTACCCCAGCTGCTGGAAGTCAGCAGGGGAGGGAGAAAGTGGCCAGTCTCAGACCAGCCACGTGCTCTTTCTCCACTCCAGTTGCCTGTCCTAGGCTCTACCCCACACATGGTTCTGCTCCGGACAGCCTGAACCAAAGTGTCTCTACTTCTCCCCCAGAGTCCCTCTCTCTAGCCCCAAGGCATGGCCCACAAGGGTCCCTCCATGATCCAATAGATCTGTGCAGACTGTCACTGGCAGAAGCTCCCTGTTGGCTCCACTTCAAAGCAGGGGCGGCCAGGCACCTCCAGGTGTCAGAAGCAGCTGGCACGTTAGCAGAAGGTCTCTGGCAGGAAGGGGTGTTGAGCCAACTGCCAGCAACTGGAAAACAGCACATGGGGATGACCTCGTCTCCAAGAAGATTCTTTCCAGAGCCCTCTGGGAGTGGCGTCAAGCTTGAGTTCAGAATGAAGGAGCTGTCTGTGGGGATAAAAGGGTTGCAGGCAAAGGCAAAGAGGTAAAGACAGACCAGGAGCTTCCTGCCTGCCTTTTCCCACAGTTCTGCAGAGATTCCAAAGCTAGATGCAGATGCCCACAGCTAGAAAGATCCCATAGGCGGGTTAAAGACACAGATGCCTAGAACTTTCATGGGTCTCAGCATTCATTTGGAGATGGACAGCACAGCATATGGTGTGATTAAATGTACCTTTCAGTAAGTCTTCTGCAGCCATAGACCTCTGAACTTCAAACTCTCGCCCCACTAGATTTAGCACTAACAAGAGGAGCTGTTAGTTCTGTCCACCCTTGGGACAACACTGTCGGAGCTGGAAGAAGCCCTTTGGGAAGTATGAGCCTTCAAGCTTCTGCTTGAACATTTCTGGCAATACACATCTCATTCCTTTACAAATCAGCCACAATCCTAGAACTACGCAGCTTGAAAACATCTCTAGAGCCAAACTCTAGATCCCCGTGGTATCTCCCCAAGAGGCAGTCCTTTGAGAGTTGGGTCTCAGCCCTCACTTCCTCCCTAGTCTTCGCCTCTAAGCAAAAAGATCTAAATGCAGTCATTTGTCCAGTATCATGGTTTTTAGACTGTCCACCAGCCTGACCCTCTTCTCCGGGACTCTAGTTTACTCCCCTTAAACAGACTGTCCAGACATGAAAGTATTAGTATTTGAATGATAGCTCTTTCGTTCCTAGCTTGTAACCTTTGCCAAGTTTCTTAATCCCTCTGAATATCTGCATTCTCCATAAGCATTCTCACTAAGTATCTTTATGAGAGGGATTAAGAAACTACTCCAGGTGTCACCTGGCCAGAGGAAAAGGGGACTGTGGCTTCTCTCGTTCATTTGTTCATGCATTTCTTCATTCAACAGACATTGACTGAGTGCCTGCTATGTGCCAGGCACCATACCAGAGTCAAGCCACAGGCAGGGAGACAGAGGCGTCACTTGGTAGATCTTATGTTCCCAGGACAAAGACAACAGTGTGAGGAGGCTGCTGAGAACTGCAGAAACCAGTAGCAGGGGGGACTATTCTAGGCTGGCTTAGAAAAAGTGCTTTCCTCTTTCATCTTCCCCAAGAGGTGCTGTGGAGGCTTCAGCCTGAAGAATATGGAGATATCTGGTAGGTGAGGAGGCGGCATGGAGGGCAGGGAGCATTATGGCTAGAGGGACAGACTTGTCTGGAGGGCATGAGTAAGGACAGCTTCAGGGAGAACGGAAAGACTAGTGTGGCCAGAATGCAGTGGGGGAGTCGAGGGAGGCAGGGGGCAGATGAAGCGGGCTCACAGGCCAGATCCAAATGGGGGACCATGTCCTAAGGGCAATGGGAGGACTGTGAAGGTTTTTTTTGTTTGTTTGTTTTTGTTGTTGTTGTTGTTGTTAACACGGAGTCTCGCTCTGTCATCCAGGCTGGAGTTCAGTGGCGCAATCTTGGCTCACTGACATGGCCACCTCCCAAGTTCAAGTGATTCTCCAGCCTCAGCCTCTCGAGTAGCTGGGATTACAGGCATGAGCCACTGTGCCCAGCCTCTGTGAAGGGTTTCCAACACAATGGTAAAATGGTCACATTCACATTTTAGGAAAATCTTTCTGACCACAATATGGATACTCAATTAGAAGAAGGCTCACACCTGTAATCCCAACACTTTGGGAGGCCCAGGCGGGCAGATCATGAGGTCAAGAGATCAAGACCATCCTGGCCAACATGGTGAAACCCCATCTCTACTAAAATACAAAAATTAGCTGGACATGGTGGCGTGTGCCTGTAGTCCCAGCTACTTGGGAGGCTGAGGCAGGAGGATCACTTGAACCCAGCAGGCGGAGGTTGCAGTGAGCCTAGATCGAGCCACTGCACTTCAGCCTGGTGACAGAGTGAGACTCCATCTCAAAAAAAAAAAGCAAGCAAGAGTAGTTGCAGGGAAACTGGGTAGGAGGTCATGCCATCATCAAGAAAAGAGAGGTGGAGGCTGGGGGTAGGATGGTGGCTATGGATGTGGAAAGTAGATGGATTCAAGAGAAATTTCAGCAATAGCATTGATAGGAGTTGGTGAATGGTTGATTGGCTTGGGGTGGGGTGGGGGAAGTTTCCAAGATGTCTAGGATGCCCCACGTTTCTGGTTGAGGAGAGTCACAGCCGGTGTTGCTGTTAACACAAGCTCAGATCCAGTTGGCTTTTTAAAAGGTAGCCAGTCTTAGTGCTTGCAATAAAAAAAAAAACCTCAGTCCTTTATACATGTGCTGCTATGATCCAGCCACATCCCTCAGAAAGAAAGCCCTCACCTCTGTCTGCCCCCCCTTCACTCGCCCCCTACTTCCTCCTGCTAGGCATGTTTCAGCTCCCCAGTCTCTGAGCCTCAGACTCTTCACCTGTAGAATGGAAATAACAATAAGACCCACCCATAGGACTGCTGTAGGATAAAATTTAATTAATGTAGTCAAATGCCTTAATAGCCTGCCATGAGGTGGGGTACTCAGGAAAGGTACCTGCCTCTACGGGCAGATCACTTGAGGTCAGGAGTTCGAGACCAGCCTGGCCAACATGATGAAACCCCGTCTCTACTAAAAATACAAAAATTAGCCACGCATGGTGACAGGCACCTGTAATCCCAGCTGCTAGGGAGGCTGAGGCAGAAGAATCACCTGAACCTAGGAGGCGGAGGTTGCAGTGAGCCAATCTGCGCCACTGCACTCCAGCCTAGGCAACAGAGCAAGATTAAAAACAAAAAGGTATCTGCCTCTATTGTTACCCGTATTACAGGGCACCTGCAGGGCTGCCCTGCTCCAACAGACACCCCTGCCCTCCCATGGTGTGCACCCCCTCTTGTGCAACAGCCCATCTCCAAAGGGACTGCTGATGTTCGAGGTCAAGATGGCCCCTAGCAGAAAGCTGCAGACCACTTCTGAGGCTGGAAGGGTGTGCCCTGTTTACAGCTTCTAGTCCCATCTGTGGCTGAAAGAGGAAGATGCTCGTGGCACTCAGCATTAAGGCTTCCATGAGGCTGTGAAGCTCTTTGGGAAGTATGAGCTCAAGCTTCTGCTCCGAGGCAGGCTCCGGAATGGGCCTATTGGTGAGAATTGCAAATGGAGGTAACTTCTGCAATTAGACAGTGGTGACAATGACGCTACTGTGTGAATATACTAAAAAACTGAATTGTACACTTTTAAAGGGTGACTTTTATGGTGCTTCATTATATCGCAATGTAAATAAATAGTAAGTGGAAGTTGCTGCTATGGGAGCACTGTGTTCCAATTGATGATCAACAGAAGCCATGGAACATGGGGAAAGGCTTGGGCTCCTTGGTGGTTTCCTGCTTGGGGATATTCACAGCCCCATGCTGTTCTGTTGTAATTCACTTTAGACTGTTGGGGCTCCAGCTGTCCTGAGAGCAGGGCAGGAAGGGAAAGTCAGTGACTTCTCATGTCCAGAGCTTTTGTCTGCCCTGCTGAGCCTGCCAAGGAAAAGCTTTGAGGTGCTGGCGGCTCTCGCTCCCTGAGCGCTCCTGGGAGAGCTCACTCTTCCTCTGCAGTTTGGGGGTCTTTGCCAGTCCTCTCTAACTGCCCGCTCTCTGCCGTCTCCCTGCTCCCGCAATCCAGTTGTCAAAACAGATTCTGCCATCTGGGTGGGGAAGGAGCGGTTTTGCTGCCTGGGTTTTCCTTGGGTTATGAGAGATGGGGTAACCACTTGGCCTTTGGTAGTGCACTTAGTCCCGTGAACTACTGACGGAGGGACCAGGGCACTCTCTTGTGGCCCTCAGCGGCACTGCTTCTTCCCGCCCTCCAGTCTTGAATTTTTTCCAGCTGGAATTCTAGTGTTAAACTCTGGTGGTGGAGGCAGCTGTCGTTCTCCCCAGGAGATGCCTAACATATCAGTAACAAGAAAGAAAATAAATCAGCCACAGAAACTAGGAGGTAAAATGTTAGTGTTTTTGCTCTGTAGCTTTATTTTCAAAGAGGTAGTGTGGCCTCATGGAAGATGCGTGGCCTGTGGAGTCCAGCAAGCTCCCCAGCTGTGTGTGTGACTTTGGCAGGCTGACCTCTGAGCCTCAGACTCTTCACGTGTAGAATGGAAATAATAAGACCCACCTGTAGGATTGTTGTGGGATAAAATTTAACAAATGCAGTTACATACTTCAATAGCCTGCCATGCTGTACATAGGGTTTAAAAACAATTAAAAACTCAGGAAATGGTACCTGCTTCTATTGTTATCCGTATTACAATAAAGACTAGGTAGGAACCGCTGTCTCTCTTCAGGGAGATGGCAGCAAGGGGAGTGGCACCACAATATTGCAGTCTCTGTAGAGCCCCTTCCCCAGCAGTGAGCAATCCTGGCTTTCTCTGGGGCTGATCCAGTTGCCAGTCTGGGGAACCTCTGACTCAGGGAAGTGGAGAGAGATTTAGAAAAATATAAGAGAGCGCAAAAGAAAACAATTTTTTTTTTTCTTGACAGGGTCTCTGTCCCCCCAGCTGGACTGCAGTGGTGCAATCTCAGCTCACTGCAACCTCTGCCTCCCAGATTCAAGCACTTCTCCTGCCTCAGCCTCCCGAGTAGCTGGGGCTACAGGCACGTGCCACCATGCCCAGCTAATTTTTGTATTTTTAGTAGAAGTGGGGTTTCACCATGTTGGCCAGGCTGGTCTTGAACTCCTGCCTTCAGATGATTCACCCACCTCGACCTCCCAAAGTGCTAGGATTACAGGCATGAGCCATCGCACCCGGCCAAAAACAATTAAAAAAAAAAAAAAAGGAAAGGAAAGGAAAGGAAAAGGAAAGGAAAGGAAAAGGAAAGGAAAGGAAAAGGAAAGGAAAAGGAAAAGGAAAGGAAAAGGAAAAGGAAAGGAAAAGGAAAAGGAAAGGAAAAGGAAAAGGAAAAGGAAAAGGAAAGGAAAAGGAAAAGGAAAGGAAAGGAAAGGAAGAAGGGCCTGATCAGAAATAGACTGGCGGCCCACCCCACCCCAGTGGATGGCTTGGCGCCTGCCTGGCATGTGATAGAGCCCAGCAAGCGCTCGTTTCCTTCTCTTCTTGTCCCAGCTCAGATGAGGCGCTGAGCAGAGGACAAACATAGTCTTGGTCTAATCCCTTTACGAGTCAGATAGTTTTCTTCCTGTGAGGTGGGTCCTCAGTGGGAGGGACTAGAGACAGCAAAACTGTGGGGTGGGCAACCTGTGAATGTGGACAGCAAGGAGGAGCAGGGCGGCAGCACAAGATGAGTGTGGGTTTTGACCCTCACAAGTGCAGATTCCCGAATAGCTCTTTGCCCTCTCCCCTTGTCTGCCATCTGTGTCTCAGGGTGGAGGTGTCTGTCGCTGTTCTGGCCCTTTGGTAGCTTATTAAATCTCAGTACCACTTGCCAAGACCCTTTAAACCCCTTGGCTGTTCTTTTTGCCTTTTCTGATCAGCTGTATTTATTCTGAACTAAATGGTCCTCACAGCAGAATGAAAGGATTTACTGCTTAAGTATATGAAAAGAAACCTTGGCTACATTACAGTTGCACCCTCTCCTCACCACCCCCTGCCCATGCTCCATCTGCTAGCTGGTGCCACTGAGACTGAACTGGGAGCCCACTCTGGGTACAGTGTGGTCAGTTCAGTTTGATGGCAGAGTCCAGTTGATGGAGCGGTGAGGTGACTGGGAGGAGCTTGCTTTTGGGAGCCCTCTCCTAAATGTCCTGCTGCCCCAGGGGAGACTGGCAGCCCAGGAACAGCTCTCTCTCTCTCTCTCTCTCTCTCTCTCCCCCCCTTTCCCCCCGCACTTTTCCCTTCCTCCCTCCCCCTCTCTCCCTCCCCTCCTTAAACCTCCCCCAGTTCTCTCTCTCAGATTCTCTCTTTCCCCTTCAGGATTGTGCTCATGGACGATGCCATGGACTGCTTGATGTCTTTTTCAGATTTCCTCTTTGCCTTCCAGATCCAGTTTTACTACTCAGGTGAGTGTTCCCGGGCTCCATCTGGCTCTGCACAGGACCCTGCCTCCTTATCCCGCCCTGCTGCCCTGCCCATCTGTGTGTCTGGCACACGTTTCTCTTCCCCACCTCCTTTGGGGGTGTACTTCATTTCGGGTCACTAACAGGATGTCTAGCGTTCAGTGGTGGTCACAAGATTCAGTCTGCAGAGCTGACTTCCTCAGCCTCCTGAAGACACTGAAAACCACAGTGCTTTCAGTCAGCAACGCAACAAATCAGTTTAAGTGATAATGACAATAACAACATCCACAGCATTCACTGCTTACTGAAAACTTACTGTCGCAGGCACAGCACTGACTTTAATCTTGACAACAGCCTTAAGAGAGGGTCCTTTCAGAGACAAGCTCACAGAAGTAAGTAGCCAGTCATGCAGCTCATAAGCGGTGGAAACCAGACCTGGAGGCTGACTCCAGAGCCGGTGTTCCCAACGTCGCTGCTATTTTACTGCCTTCAAGGGTCTCTCCCTTAGCAACCGATCGTGTGTTTGCGTGCACATTCTCCTCCACCCCACAGCTTTAAAAAAGCACACACCAGTCTTTTGTCACACTCCCACTCTGCTCCCCAGTTCACCCAGCTGCACCCTTAAGTCTCTCTGGAATCAGATGGAATAAATATAGACAAATAAATATAACTATACACCAGCTCACACACAGAGACATCAAATGGAGTGCTGGGTTTACAAATTGCTGACTGTGTTCATAAACAAACTTGCTTAAAACAGGCTCTTCCAGTAAATAGAAGGCTGTCCTTAGATCCTAGAGGTGGCCTCCCTGCCAACTGGTGTCCCTAGCTAGCCCTAGCCTCACTTGGGCGCCACATTCTGTTTACTTCATGGCAGCCCAAGGGCTGTGCAGGCAGGGGCTGGAGCCTGGGGTCTTGCCACCTGCTCTTAGCAGCACCAGTCATTTCCCATTTCTCCAAAGCTCTTGGGCCCTAGAGAAGGAGCAGCCATGTCTGGGAGAACATTTTCCCCTCAATGCCTCCCCAGCCCTCTTCTCACAGCACCCCCAGAGGGATGGGACAGCTACCACATTGGGCCAGGAGCATTACTGACACTGCCCAGCAGTGTGTGTTAGAGATGAGATGGGCCAGTAAGTCAGCAGTTCTAACAATGGCTCAACTACAACTTTGAAAACCATTTCAAATGACTGACTCAGCAGCAGCTTGCGGGCTTTCTCTGTTCCTCGCTGGTATTCCAACATGCTTTCTTGAGGTAGAGAGGCAGGTGGCCACACAAGATGGGGCTTACCAGTGGGAGCATACTCATGTTCACTCCTCCAAAAAATATTTATGGCCTTAATGTGTGCTAAGCACAGTGCTAGGCAGGACAGGCCAACCAGGCATGACCCCTGCCTTTGTGCATTCCAGCAAGGAGACACAATTAATGACACAGAAAGCTCCTCACTGGCTAAGTGCCAGAAAAAAAGCCTAGGGTGCTATGAAAGTGCAATGGCAGGTCTCACCTAGTCCAGGAACAACTGAGGGATGGGACATTTGAGCGAAAACACAGATTAGTGTCATCTCTCATCAATGTGCTGGCAAACAAGGTTGACAACTTCTGCTCTCAGGACACCATGCCCTGAGCACTGAGGCTGGTGTGGAACTGGACTGACAGAGAAGGGAGAACATAGTGAAGAGACAAAACATGTCCTCCCTGCCTGAGCTGTCCACCCCCACCCCCGCCCCACGGTTCCAGAATTCCTGGACAGTGTGGCTGCCATCTACGAGGATCTGCTGTCGGGCAAGAACCCCAACACAGTGATTGTGCCGACATCATCCAGTGGGCAGCACCGCCAACGACCTGCCTTGGGTGAGGCCGGCATGCTGGAGGGCGTGGAGGCGACGCTGTTCTACCAGTGTCTGGAAAACCTGTGTGATCGGCACAAGTACAGGTGAGGAATGGGCATGCAGCCCCCAGCCCCCCAGCCCCCCAGCCCCAGGGAGCTCAGACTGCTGGCTGTGGAGCAGAGCTCTGCAGGATGTTCTGCCAGGCCCAGGGATTCTAGGACCCTTGCTGGTCATAATGTAACAGTGCCATTTGCCCCCAAACCAGTTGTTGACTGAAAGGCTCCCAGATGGCTCACTTCAAAAGGACTGCTTTCACTTGGGCAAGACCACTGTAGATGACCAATTTACTGGCTGACAGACTGGCCTTAACATTTTAGAGAGAAGGAAAGAGTACTCCTTGTATAAAACTTTTCTACACAAAGAGAGGGGTAAGCTGTCCTGTGTGACACAAGTATCCTTAGGGACCGAGCAACGGATTTGGTTTCCCTAGCCATTTCCCACCGCCGCTCCCCACTCTGGTGAAAGCACCAGTTAGTGAACATGCCAGCCCCTCCTGACCACAGTGAAGGGCTGGATCCCCCAGGGCCTTGGGGCTCCCAAGGCAGGTCCCTGGCTTGGCTGTGGGTATCCTCGTGAACTTGAAAGTATGGATGCAGAGATGTCCCCGAGGCTCTGAATGTGGCGTCTCTCCTTCTTAGCTGCCCACCCCCAGCACTTGTCAAAGAGGCCCTCAGCAACGTTCAGAGACTGACCTTCTATGGGTTCCTCATGGCTCTCTCAAAGCACCATGGAATCAACCAAGCCCTCGGTAAGTCAGAGCTAGCAGCCATCAGCCTCTCCTGCCGCACAACACAGGGAGCAGCTGGCCTCTGTTGGCAACACGGCTCCATGGGGAAGGGGCATCACCATCTCTGCCTTGACTTCCCAGGGCCAGACTCAGTCCCAGGGAGCAGGAACATGCGTGACAAAACATGGCTCTTACACATTCCCATGGTAGAGGACAGCCTTCCCTGCCTGTGGCCCTGCCCCAACATGAAGCCGTCTCCCCACAGCAGAGGCACGCCCAGCCCCTCCTCAGAGAATCCCCAGCTCTGCTTTGGGGAGCGGCCTGCAGGTTGGGCAGACACAGGACTATTTACTCAGTGGCGCTAGAGATTATGTATCAAAGAGATCTGAATCCCATTTATAAACAGGGCAAAGGTGTGTCTGGGGAGACCTTTATTCCAAGCTGAAAAAAAAATCTGATTAATCTGAAAGGGAGAAAGACAAAAGTGGGGGAGCCTGCAGTGGTCCAGTTCTCCCTGCTTGCTGGTTTTTCACTGAGCCTTCTCTACCCACCCCACTGTTCCCCCTCCCACAGCCACTGCTCTCCTAAGGGAAGAGCCGGTAAGCCTCCATTCTACTAGAGTTTAAGGGGTTTTGTTTTTGTTTCTGAGACAGAGTCTCACTCTGTTGCCCAGGCTGGAGTGCTGTGTTGCAATCTCAGCTCACTGTAGCCTCGACCTCCCGGGCTCAAGTGATGCTCTCACCTCAGCCTTCCTAGTAGCTGGGACTACAGGCATGAGCCACCATCTTGGAAAATGTTTGTTTTTTTTGTACAGACTGGGTTTCGCCATGTTGCCCAGGCTGGTTTCAAACTCCTGGACTCAAGAGATCCCCTCACCTTGCTCTCCCAAAGTGCTGGGATTACAGTTGTGAGCCACCGCGCCCAGCAAGAGGTTCGTTTTTGTGTCTCAAGAGATCCTCCTGCTGTGCTTGGGATCCCAAGTGCCCGAGTCTCAAGAAAAGACATACAGCATCCCCCCCACTTCCTTTTGCTAGTTGAGGGAATGGGATTAAGGGAAGGAAAGTTAACATTCATTAAATGCCAACCACAGCAGGCTAAGTACTGTGCTGCATGCTTTGTATTTCTTATCTTACACAATATACAGTTAGCTGGGGATGCTCTGGGATGCACAAGCACAAACCCTAGCAGGCTGAACTGCATGCCACCCGCAGCCTGGTTATTCTGAGTCAGTGCTTAGGGCTTGCACAGTCTGGGGAGCTCTCAACAAACTGAAGTTGGTAGCTGAGGTTACCCGCTGAACTAGGACTAGAAAGGAGGCAATTGACAGGTCAGGTGTGGTGCCTCACGCCTGTAATCCTAGCACTTTGGGAGGCCGAGGCAGGTGGATCACCTGAGGCCGGGAGTTCGAGATCAGCCTGACCAACATGGTGAAACCCCCATCTCTACTAAAAATACAAAAATTAGCTGGGCGTGGTGGCACACGCCTATAATCCCACCTACTCGGGAGGCTGAGGCATGAGAATCGGTTGAGCCCAGAAGGCAGAGGTTGCAGTGAGCCGAGATGATGCCATCGCATGCCACCCTGGGCGACAGAGCAAGACAGTCTCAAAAAAGAAAAAAAAAAAAAAAAAACAGGGAAAAATCAGGAATCAAGAGTAAGGGGGAGGCAGGTGGGATCTGCCCTGCTATTTTTTCATACTCCTAGTTATGACCACCCTTCCTTCCCACCAACAGCAGGAACTAGGAAGGAGATGGAAAAGCCAATTAGCAACTGGGTCACAGCCTGGACTAACCTCATCCCCCTTTTTAAAGGCCAGGGCCTTTAAAAGGACACTGGCCAGGTGCGGTGGCTCATGCCTGTAATCCCAGCACTTTGGGAGGCCGAGGCGGGTGGATCACCTGAGGTCGGGAGTTCGAGACCAGCCTGGCCAACATGGAGAAACCCCGTCTCTACTGACAATACAAAATTAGCTGGTTGTGGTGGCGCATGCCTGTAATTCCTACTACTGGGGAGGCTGAGGCAGAAGAATCACTTGAACCCAGGAGGGAGAGGTTGTGGTGAGCCAAGATCGCGCCATTGCATTCCAGCCTGGGGAACAAGAGCGAAACTCCATCAAATAAATAAATAAGTAAATAAATAACACTAATAGCCAGACGTGGTGGCTCCACCTGTAATCCCAGCATTTTGGGAGGCTAAGGCAAGAGAATCCTTGAGCCCAGGAGTTAACGACCAGTCTCAGCAATATAAGGAGAACCCTGTCTCTTTTAAAAAAAAAAATTAGCTGGGTGTGGTGGCATGTACCATTGGTCTCAGCTACTCAGGAGGCTGAGGTGGGAAGATCGCTTCAGCATGGGAGGTCGAGGCTGCAGTGAGCCATGATCACTGCACTCCAGCCTGGGTGACAAAGCAAGACTGTCTCCAAAAAAAAAAAAAAAAAGTCACTGTCATTCAACCACTTTTACTGCACGCTAACGTTGAGTGGTTGGGTGGAATGGGAGACAGAAAGAAGCAAGTGGTCTCGGGCCTCACCTGCATCTCCAGTGTATAAAATAGAAATCTGGAGAAAAACTGCTTGCCGCGTCATGGAGGTCAGCCCTGTTCCCTTAGTCCCTAGGGCACCCCCCAAATGAGAGGGTTCTGTGAGATGTAGTTTGAAAAACACTAACTTAGGGCAAGAAGGGCCAGGAGGCATCATCTGAAAAAGATTTGGACAAATTGGCAATCTGCCTATGCCAGGTTAACTCTGGCCCTGACCCAGCCTTCTCCTCTTGCCCCAGGATCCTCTTTGGAGAAGCAGAGGCTGTTTTTTTTTTTTTTTTTTTTTTTTTTTTTTTTTTTTTACCATCTGTCTCCAAACTGGGGTCACCCTGATTTGGGGACGCAAAATTAGGTAATGTCTGACCTTTGGGCGTAGCCTAGACCATATCCTTTTCAGCCCAGTTACCTGAGGCCTCAAAGAAGAACTCAACTCCCAGCACCAGGTCACAACCACCTAGTGTTGGAAGGGGATCACCACACTTGTCTGGCAATGTCTCCTTGGCTGTGGTGTCTGCCCCAAACAGGGAAAGTAAGCAGTGGGATTCAATAAATGTATCAAGCGGCAGCCAGGACCTTCCTGCTCCGTGACTGTTCTTGGCCCCTCTAGCAGTCCTCAGATCTTCAGATCAGCCCTCCCAGGGTCAGCAGATCAGGGAGCCGTGAAGGTAAGGGGCATGGAGGAATCTGTCACCTGGCTGAAGGGCCCTCGTTTTAACTACTGTGCCCCCAACGATCTCCTAGGAGCTTTGCCTGACAAGGGGGATCTGATGCACGACCCAGCAATGGACGAGGAGCTGGAACGGCTGTAAGTGTCAAGTGGGAGGATGCTGCCCCCTTGTGGGGGCCAGACGGGTTGAACACGGCTGCGCCCCATCTGGGGCCAACACCACTTGTCTGTAACATCCTGCATCTGCCAGGGAAGGGTCTGGGGGCCAGCAGAGGCCTGAGATGTCCCTCCCTCTGAGTCCTTTGGGGGCTGCAGCCCAGGGGTTTACCCTAGTGTAAGAGTGGGCATGGAGGCCCCGCTCTCTGGACAGCAGGCCTCTTGCTGCCCTCCAGGCTTCTTCCCTTCTTCAGGCTGGCCCAGGTCCCGGGCCTGGTCAACTCGATCACAGCCAGTCCAGAGGCCAGTTGCCTGCCTTCCCGGACCCCTCCCCGGGTTGGCTCCCCCTGGAGACCTCTCCATCATTCCCGAAAAGTGGATGGAGAGAGCGATGGCTCCACTGAAGAGACAGACGAATCGGAGACTTGAGGAGTCCGAAGGGTCCTGCCCACAGCGCCCTATACCTGCTCCCACCCAGCCCTTGGCGTGCCCACCCAGCCTCCTCTCCAGCACCTTGTTGTGCTGCCCTCTGCTGCTGACAAGGCGAATAACAGCCCCAAGAGCGGCCAGAGGGGCGCTGATGATCAGCCCAGCCAGTGGCCCCGGAAGGGGAATGGCCTGCTCTCCCTGGTCCTGTCAGCCTGCGAACTTCACTCAGGCCCCAAGCTGACAGCCTGTGCTGAAGCCACCGTATCACTAGGAAGGGGACTTGGCCGTAGCCTGTTAGTCCTCCTAACCTCTTAAGAAGAGCGGTCTCTTCTGAACCAGTCTCTGCTGGTCCCCTGATAAGGTTCATCTCCTCACAGCAATTCCATTAAGGGGGAGAACCCGAATAGCCACGCAGGGCCTTGCACCATCAAGGGTGACACCTGCGACGCAAGTACCAGGAGGACATAACCGCTGTGGCCTTCTGTTGGAGAACAGCCAGTAGCCTTGGTAGGATGGAGAAGGGTGGGCCAGAAGATGATTTCACTTGCAAAAACTGCTTCAAGTCTTGACCCCTTTGTGTCTAATAGCTAAACATGTGAAACAAATAAAGTCCCTCGTGTCTGGCAAGTGGTGAGTCTAAAGCTCCTAGGCTGAGGGGAGAAGGGAGAGGGTGAGTTTGGGTTTTTGGTGCTTTTCTGGCAGGACTAGGAGGTAGGGGCCAGTGGCCCACTCAGGCCTGGGGACCTGCCTCAGACAATGAGCAGAGGGGCCTAGCTTCGCACAAGAGCAGCCTTCCAGAGGAAAAGGTGCTCACAGCTGGAATGGCCTTCAGGAAATAGGTTCAGAGGGTTCAAGGCCAGGTTCCCATAACTTTAAAGACCATGGCCACAAAGGGTTAATACTGCACAGCCTTCGAGCCAGGGTTTCAGTCAACATTTGCCAAGCACCTGCTTGGGGTTAGGGCAGTGGGATGCAGCTGTGGAAGACACAGCCTGGGGCAGACACATCCCATCCAAGACTGGAAGCAGGTAAGGATGAGTGGTCTTCAACCTCTTTGGATTGAGGGCTGCGGAGGCAAGGTCCCCCGGAGGGCAGAACCCACCCAGAGGCCCAAGCGTAACAGGGCTGCCTCCTCTGAAGGCGGATGTCACCACTACTAGGCACACACATTTCCTTGGGCTCATCGCAACCCAGAACGGATAATTACAGGAACTGCCTCCCAAACCCCTGCCAAGACTGGGCATTCCAACCCAGAAGCAGCTCCAGGATGCGGTGGCTCATTGCCTGTAATCCCAGCACTTTGGGAGGCCAAAGTTGGCCGACTGCTTGAGCCCAGGAGTTCAAGACCACCATGGGAAACATAGTGGGACCCTATCTCTACAAAATAAACTTAGCCAGGCATGGTAGCTTGCACCTGCAGTCCCAGCTACTTGGGAGACCGAGGTGGATTATTTGAGCTCAGGAGGTTGAGGTTGCAGTGAGCCATGATCGTGCCACTGCACTCCAGTGACAGAATGAGACCGTCTTTAAAAAAAAAAAAATGCTCAGACCACGTGATGAGCTCTCTAGGCCCACAATGATCCACAGCCCATAAGAGACATGGTTCTCAAATCCTGGTGTCCTCAGAATCACAGGGAAGCCTACTGACAATGCAAATTACCAAGCTCCAGAGAGTCTAACTCTACCAGCTTGGGATGGAGTCCAGAAATTTCAGATGATCCCAAAGCTGAGTGAGTCCCGAACCTACACTCTGCAAATCCATGGCTTAGAGCCCCCTGGCTCCCTCTGCCCATCCTTTCTAATCATCCACTTCCCAGACCAGTGGTCTGTAACTACCATGAGGACTCCTAAGGTGGCACAGAGATGTTTCAGAAGCCCCCAAGAGAAAGGGGTGGCCAAGCCAAGGGTTTACATACAAACACATCTTTTCTTTCGGAATTTAAAGGGTCCCATTAACATCTAAGAGCATGCGTGTGTATGTATATATATGCGTATATATAATTTTTTTTTTTTTTTTTGAGACAAGAGTCTCACTCTGTCTCCCAGGCTGGAGTGCAGTGGCGCGACCTAGTCTCACTGCAACCTCTGCCTCCTGGGTTCAAGCGACTCTCTCATGCTTCAGCCTCCTGAGTAGCCAGGATTACAGGCATGCACCACCACCCCCGGCTAATTTTTGTATTTTTAGTAGAAATGGGGTCTCACCATTTTGGCCAGGCTGGTTTCAAACTCCTGGCCTCAAATGATCCACCCGCCTCAGCCTCCCAAAGTGCTGGGATGACAGGCATGAGCCACCATGCCTGGCCTTAAATTTTCTTAAGCTCCACTGAAACCCATCCCTAGTCAAGCCTACTGCTGTGACAAGGGGCAGGACTGCTGAGGTTGCTCGCTCACCCTCAGCCAGCGAGTTAAAGGGTCAACTAATGCCAGCTCTTTCCTCTGCGTGCCACAGGGTGGTGAGGTCGAAGCTGCACCGGACCTCACGGCAGCACAGAGCCAAGGAGCCAGGGGCCTTTGCCTTTCAGAGAAGAGAGAAGCAGGAGGCCCTGGAGAGAGTGTCCTCAGCTTCGGTACCGACGCCCTACCATTACCGGTGGGAGCCCCGAGAGTGAGGCCAGGGTCCGGCACTGGGCAGGGAGGCAGGATCCAGAGGACACTGCTTCACTCAGACCAACAGGGAGCAAGGCCCTGCGGGGGCTTTATTTTGACACCACTTTGTTTCAATACAAACAGTCCAGAAAGAAAGTCATGTCCCTCTGGGGGAGGGGCAAGGGGAAGAGTGGTCTGTGTTGCTTGGGAGCCCAACCTACAACCCAAAGGTAGGGGCTGGGCTGAGACTGCCGGTGCGGCAGAGGAAGATGGCACCAAGAATGACACAGTGCTTGGCTCAGATGCCAGAGGGTGAGGCCCGCAGTTCCCACTGGCGGGTGCTGTCCAGGCCCCCAAGCCCAGAATGATGCAGAGGAAGGAGCTCAGCCCCAAGAGCCTGCCTTTGCCCCTCACATCCTCTGCTTCCCTGGCCAGCATCAAGCTCACAGCCTCTAGAGTCAAATCACAGCAGACAAGACCCTCCATGGCCACCAACCAGGGGATGAAGGGACAGAGAATGTTGCAGAAGGTCCTGCGGTCCACAGCAGATGGTACAGAGGGACCCTGAGACAATCTTCCAAGTGCTTACTGTAGAAAGGGGTGGTGAGACGGGAGAACCCGTGGGTCTCCAGTCTGATCCCAAATGAAACCTTTAGGTACCAGGTAGTTTCCTGTCCTTGGTAATGCCCAAAAGGACCTTTCCCTCCTTTGCCCTCTCCTGGCACCCAGAAGAGGCCACTGGCAGCAGCAGCAGCAAGTCCGCAGCCTCTTTCCCCAGGGGACGGGTCTACAGTGAACTCCTTCCAGGCCTCCCCATGGTTCCAGAGGATGGAGACCCAAGCCCTCGAACTAGAAGAACCCTAGAGCCAGCAAAAAAAAAGCCTTCTACCTTCCACTTTCCCTACCTGAGGAAAGGCTGGACCCAGAATAAGCCATCCTGGGGGAACACCCTCTCCCAGTGTGGCAGGACAAGTAAGCAGCAGCTGTGGGGGCAGGACAGAAGGACAAGAGTCTAACACACGGAGGGTGGTGTGAGAGGGAATAAAGGGCTCAGTCCACAGGCAGAGGACAAAGGCTGGTACTGACCATTCCCCTCACATGAGTGAGCGCCTCGAAGACCACTCCACACACACACCACACATACAAAGTAACAAATCCTCCCCAGCTTCCACAAGGCAAAGCATCCCCAGCCTGGGAACTGTGGAGTTCTTGCTGCAGTCACCACCGTAAGCCTGAATCACAGAGCTTGGATCAGTAGGAACCGTAGCGATCCTGGGGGCGAGGGAGGAGGAAAAAAACAAAGTCAGAGGCTCTCTAAGCTGCAGCAACTTCCCAGCAAACACACTGCCTGCCCCGGCACCCCATAGCAAGACTTGGGAGGCAGGGGCTGGACAGCCTGGGGAGGCAGGAGTCCACGGTGAGAGCTGGGGCAGGGGCCACTCGGGCACCCAACAACGGGGAAGCCCTGCCTGGCCTCGCAGAAGCTGGGAAAAGAAGAGAAAGACCGGTACAGGTGACAAGGCCAGGGAAGATCATGGCAGACACAGTGGCATCTCGGAGAGGCCCAGCCCTGGTATGGAGCTGAAAGGAAGGAAGCTGCCCTCCAAGAAAAGAAAATGCCTCTCTCTAGACTCTTGCTTTTTTGTGTGTGTGTGGTTTTTTTTTTTTTGAGACACAGTTTCACTCTTGTCACCCAGGCTGGAGTGCAGTGGCGTGATCTCGGCTCACTACAACCTCCAGGTTCAAGCGATTCTCCTGCCTCAGCCTCCCGAGTAGCTGGGATTACAGGAGTGAGCAACCGCACCCGGCCAAAAATGCTCTTAAGGCTCAGAGGGGCTAGGCAGTAGCAGTGTCTCTATGTGGTGGCGAAGGGCAAACCTCCCAGCACTCCTCATTAGGCCCCACTTCAGCCTCACCTGCAAGGAATTCATCACACCATTGGCCAGCACAGCCATTTTCCCGGCCACAGACTTAACACCCTGCTTAAACTGGGCAATGTCCGCTGTAGGCAGCACGTTCCCCAGAGATACACTTCCTGTAAAAGCAAGGGCAGGGTGACCCACAGCCCAGCAGGAAGCCCTTCCCAGGCACAGCAGGGCCCTCCCGCCCTGCTCCCAGGCCTCGCTTGGTACCTGCCACCCCACCAGGGCCCTACCTGCTCCGTGAGCTCCATCCATGTCCCCAAAGAGGTCTGAAGAGCTGATGGCATTGCTGCCTGAGAGCTGCTGCAGCCGAGACCTGGCCTCATACTGTGGTGAGGAAAAGGCCAGGCCTGGGGATCCTGGGGCCGAGGACCCAAGGACTCACACAGGCCAGGCCCTCCTGGTGCTAAAGCCCAAAGCAGCGGCAGGGAGAAAGCTCATGCTTCTGCCTGCTGCCTCAGACCTCAAGGCAGACAGCCCCACTTACCTCCGCATCCATCTCCCGCCCAAAGAACATGTCAGATGAGATGGCTTTGGCTCCTGCGAATTTCTGACGTGCCTCACTAGACTCGAGGCCTGAGCTCCGGCTCTCCACTTCCCTCCGGTTTGTGGCCCTGAGGGGAAGATGTGGAACAGCTCAGACTCCTCCTGTTATCATCAGGGGAGGCAGAGTACAGAGACCAAACAGAGCACCAATGGCCTTTTGGTGATGGGTTACCAGGTCCCATTCTGTCTGTAGCTCTGTGACTCTGGGCCCCTCTCCCCTGGTGAGGAGTCACCCTTCTCCACACTGAGGCCAAGGCCCAGAGAGCTTAGTAACCTGCACTAGGCAGGGTGGAAATACGGTCTGCAGTGGCCTAGGCTCCTGCCCAAAAGCACACAGCTTTGTCAGCATTCAGGAGGCCACACAACTGCTGCTACCCTAATCCTAGTGACAACATGCCTAGTACTACAATGAGCATATGTGTCAGTCTGCCTGGCTTTATACCTACTCTTGTCGTAACCATGAATAGCAAACTGCCCCCTTTACTCTCAAAAGCATCCTGGTGTGGAAAGGGAGATGGCTGCTCTCATCTTGCCATGAGTATGTGGACACTGGGCCAGGTACTTCCGGAGACCCCGTGAAGTAGTTACGTTCCTGTTTAATAATGGGATAACTCACAGATATTATGTCAACTAAACAGATCCCAGATTAAGATGGAGTAGGGTTTTTAAAATAAGGGGGCTGGAGACATAAAACCCTTGAAAGGAGGTCAGGACTGAAGCATAAAATCAGGCCCCTCCTGCCAGAGAAATGGACCCCAAGCAAAAGCAGCTGCCAGGCCCTCTGTGATGACAAAGCACAACTCAAACCGAAGCCTGACTGCTGCACTGTCTAATGAGGCAGTGCCAGCCACTGGTGGCTATTTACATTTATCAAAAATTAAACTACATTAGAAATTCAGTTGCTCAGTTGCACCAACCACATTTTAAGGGCTCATAGCCACATAGTAGTGGCTACCACATTAAATTACACAGAGAACATTTCCATCATCACAGAAAGTTCTTCTAGACAGTGCTGCCTCAGACTTCTCTACCTTCAGCTTGTTTAAAAAAAATAAAAAAATAAAAAAAGAACAGCCCACTCTACCTTTCTGAAATAGGCCGGATGCTTGAGATGGTCACTTCTGGCTCCTTCTCCTCTACCCTGTCCATACCCCAGGCAGCATCTGTATCCCAGCGGGAACCAAAGCTTTCCCCTAAGGAAAAGGGGTTGTCCTTGTACCTAAGGAGACAGGAGAGTGGCTCAGAGAAGCCTGATGAGGAACACAGCAGTCAAGTTTACAGCTAGAAAACAGCCTTACTTTGGGGGTCCAGAGGCGAAAGTACCAACATCGTCAAACAAGTCCAGCTGAGAGCGAGAAGATTTTGCACTCACTGGGGTTTCCTGCTCGATCACCTGCATCTCAGACAGCACGGAGTGGGAGACAGAGCTGCACAGCAAAGCAGAGCCAGGCCATGAGACCAGTGAATAGACATTAGCATCACTGCACAAAAGACAATAACCAGCGGCTGGGTTCTCCTTCATGGAGCATCACCCAGAACCTTCTGTCTTTACCCAAGCACAGGGCTAGGCCAGACCCCAAAAGAAGGCTAGCTGTGTGTGGTGACCTGTGAAGCAAACCTCAGAATTCTTTACACATCAGCTTTGTTTATTCAACGCAGGCGTTCCCTGGCCAGTGACCATCTGCCTGTTATAATTTTATTTTATTCATTTATTTATTTGAGACAGATTCTCACTCTGTCACCCAGGCTGGAGTCCAGTGGTGCAATCTCGGCTCACTGCAACCACTGCCTCCTGGGTTCAAGCGATTCTCGTGCCTCAGCCTCCCGAGTACCTGGGACTATGGTGCACGTCACCACGCCCAGCTATTTTTTGTTTTTTCAGTAGAGACAGGGTTTCGCCACATTGCCCAGGCTGGTCTCAAACTCCTGAGTTCAGACAATCCACCCACCTTGGCCTCCCAAAGTGCTAGAATTAGAGGCGTGAGCCACCGCGCCCGGCTCCTATTGTAATCTTTTATTTATTTACTTATTTATTTTGAGACGGAGTCTCACTTTGTTGTCCAGGCTGAAGTGCAGTGGCGCGATCTCGGCTTACTGCAAGCTCCGCCTCCCAGGTTCACGCCATTCTCCTGCCTCAGCCTCCCAAGTAGCTGGGACTACAGGCGCCCACCACCACACCCAGCTAATTTCTTTTGTATTTTTAGTAGAGATAGGGTTTCACCGTGTTAGCCAGGATGGTCTCGATCTCCTGACCTTGTGATCCACCCACCTCAGCCTCCCAAAGTGTTGGGATTACAGGCGTGAGCCACCGCACCCGGCCTCCTGTTGTAATTTTAATAATGTGCACCAGATGCCAGTGGTCTCTGTCCTGGATAACTCCCTGCCTTGTGCACTATGAACCCCATCCTTCGCTGATGGGATTCACACAGCAAAGGAATGGATGAAAGAATGCCCCAGAACCAGGGAAAAGAGCGTGACTGCATCAAAGGATGAGTTCTTCATCATCCTACTCTTTATTTAAAAAAAAAAAAAAAAAGCCGAGCAGGTGGCTCACGTCTGTAATCCCAGCACTTTGGGAGGCCGAGGCGGGCAGATCACAAGGTCAGGAGATCGAGACCATCCCTCGCTAACAAAGTGAAACCTGTCTCTACTAAAAATACAAAAAAATTAGCCGGGCATGGTGGTGGGGGCCTGTAGTCCCACCTACTTGGGAGGAGAATGGCGTGAACCTGGGAGGCGGAGCTTGCAGTGAGCCCAGATGGCACCACTGCACTCCAGCCTGGGCGACAGAGCAAGACTACGTCTCAACAAAAAAAGCACCTCAAAGCACAAAGACTGGCCTTATGCACTAAGACCTAGAATTGCTGTCTGGTTCTCAAAAAAAAAAGGGGTGTAGGGTTGGCAGGCAATACAGTACAATTCTTGATGCCTCTCATTCCTCTGTCAGGCTCCACAGGGACACTTTAAGGATTAATTTGATTTAAACCAATTCATTTAAAAATATCCATAGCTTTTAGCTAGAAGAACCCCAAGGAGTGATTATTTTGCAATAGGGCTGAGTTGGGCCAGGCGTGGTGGCTCACACCTGTAATCCCAGCACTTTGTGAGGCTAAGGCAGCCAGATCACCTGAGGTCAGGAGTTCGAGACAAGCCTGACCAACATGGAGAAACCTACTAAATCTACTAAAAATACAAAATTAGCTGGGTGTGGTGGCGCATCCCTGTAATCCCAGCTACTTGGGAGGCTGAGGTAAGAGAATCGCTAGAACCCAGGAGGTGGAGGCTGTGGTGAGCCGAGATCACACCATTACACTCCAGCCTGGGCAACAAGATTGAAACTCTGTCTCAAATAAATAAATAGGGTGAGTTGGGTTTAAGTAAACAATTGTTGC